TAATGCAGAGGTGTGTGATAGAAATGGTGATAGGTAGAAAGAACCAAAGCAGATTTACACGCTATAAACTAAATTCTCACATCATATAGTCGGTGTGATTAAGCATCTCAATTTATGCACGACGGGGAAGGTCCTGTTAAAGATGGAAAAGTTCAAGCAACTCACTCTACATCGGGTACCTCCTCTAGTTAATCATAAAATAACGAAAATTATCGAAACAAATTTGATCTAGCTAATGCTAGAAGTTTTGGACATGTGTCACACAAAATTAGTATTGGCTCAATTTCTGATAGTTATTAAAAAATATTGTACATCTTATCCATTAAATAACTTGACAGTAAAACATAAACCAATATAAAAATATTCCTGTATGAAAACCATCTCTCTAAAACTCCTATTGTATAACAACGGACCACAAAAGAAAAGCCTTGGGAACTATATAATACTATAAAAAGTTAAAAGAATCTCACATATAGTGCTGAATGTTAAACAAAAGGGAAAGCTACTAGCCGCTTTAGAGCATTTCAGGGCTTTTGCTTTCTTTATGTGAACACTGATATACAGACAAGACGAAAAGTGCCTCTTCGACAAAAGTTGAAAAGTCAATGTCACAGACCAAAAGTTGAAGATGTTCTCAACTCTTCAAAAGTTCTTTTGAGTTCTCCTGTATTCACATACGTGCGTATGTACGAATGTCGGAGATTCTGAAATTTCGGGAATTTACTTGATACCGAAACTCTATCCGACATGCTTCGTTTTGGTTCAAGTATTAAGAATTAGATGTGAGTGGTGTGCATGTGGTAGCATAAGAGTGAGTTCCGAGAGAACTTTTCATTCTTCCAAGTAGCTGGATGGTTTTTTTAAGAGAATTCCAGTCATTCAAATATGTATGAATATACACAGAATACAAACAGCCATATATATATGAATATGCACAGCTACGTATATATGAATACACGCCACCACATACTTTTGACGCCTAAACTATATAGATTTTGACGTTAAATGAAATTTCTCTACAAAAACCTAAGGAATTTATTACACAAGGAACCACCGACACTGTTCCTTCTGACACTTTCGCTTCCGCTAGACAAAGATAATTACACACAGATATATCGTTCAATTATTACTTTCATCGAAACCACTAAACGTTTTGAAACAACAAACCACTAACCCGTATCATAACGCTACATACTAAAACATCTTCTAGACATACGTTTCCTCTTTCTTCTCCTTCCTTTCTGCTCTTCTTTTGTTGTTTACTTTGTCTGTTTTTCTTCTCTCTACACATTATACTATCTGTTCTAACAAGTAGACTACTTTTCTTATGCACAGCAATATAATGGGTCGCCGATTTTGTGTGCATCTGAAGCAAAACTGCCTAATATTCATTTCTACTTTTTTGGTTTATTCTATTTTCTCTCTGTTCTTTTTTTTTCGAAGTGATAAATAAAGTTTAAACTAAAACTAAGACTTAATAAACAGTAAAGAGCTGACATACAGACTGATCACATGTAATTTAAGTTGTATTATGATATGAGCACCTACAGAAATTATATAAATAATATCATGTGCCAAGAGCATAGTACACTCCTTAACTGTTCGAAAATGTCAATTTATCCTTTACCATCCGTTTGCACGCGATTGGCACAGTATTACTACGTAGTACGTTGGAAGATTGTATTTCGTTCTGTCAATCAGTGGGATTAATACCGTATTGTCCAAGTCAGCCGTGTTCCAATGGCCATCATAACTGGTACATGGGTAAATATTCAACAGCGCAAGATAGTAAGTAATCAGTAGCATAATATAACCTCCGAAGGTAGTTTATAATTTTCATTGTGTTTTCGAATATCAATGGCGTTGTCGTTCGAAGGGTTGTAAATTAACTCGACCTATTCGTGACGGCACGTTCTTTTCCAATTCGAAGTTAACAGTACAGCAGATACTAGATTTAATTTATTATTGGTCACAAGGTGAAGATACCCATGAACATCTTCGTCGTCATTGTAATTTCTCGAGTGAGTCCACTATAGTTGATTGGAAAAATTTCCTTCAAGATATCTGCTCTGAATTTTTTTTAAGTTACCCGGCCGAAATTGGTGGTGTCGGACATGTGGTGGAAATCGACGAATGCGCGTGGACGAAACGGAAATACAATCGTGGACGGGTGGTACAAAACCAGTGGGTATTTGGTGGGATTGATAGAGACACCAGGGAATGTTTTGCCATCACTGTAGATCGTCGTGATGCTGGTACACTGTTGCTCATTATACAACAGTATGTCAAACCAGGTACGTCAACTACATTTACATTTCTGCTCAACAACACTTAGTATAATTTTAGATACGACGATTTACAGTGATCAGTGAAGAGCATATAGCTCATTAAATACAAATGTTAACCAATATGAACATTATACAGTCAACCATTCATTAAATTTTGTGGATCCAGAAACAGCGGTGCACACACAAAATGTGGAAAATATGTGGATGTGTGCGAAAAGAAAAAAGAAGAGTATGTGGGTATGTAACACTCCTACAAATGTATCTTACGGAATTCATGTGGCGACGAAAATTTGGGAACCGGCCTTTTGAAAATTTGCTGAAACAAATTAAAGAACTGTATCCGACTGAAGTAAGTTAAAATTTTGTACTTTTTGTTTTGGTTTAATAAAGCTTTTGCTCTGTTTTGTTTTGTTTTATTTTTCTATGTTTCTTATTGTTTTTCTATTGTTTTTCTTCGTTTTTTATGACGTTCGTTTCATGTCTCTGTTCGTCTTTTGTACATAGCAGATGCTCTTTGTTATTTATTGTTTAATCCGTTTACTAGTTATAATTAATTGGAATCTGTCAGTGTTATCTATTATAGCTTTCTATAACTAGAGTCATCTATTACTTGCGTTCTTAATTCCTTCTTTTGTTTATCCAGTGATATATATATTTCAACCAATAGTTTGTTTTTCTTGTTCTGTTATATAGCTAATATAATCAGTCGCTAGATAGGGGTGTGATTGTCGTGTAGAAGTACCCAAACTAATGTTAATTAGCTGTCCGTAGGTGTTGAAAATGAACCTGTAAGCTCAAAATCTAGGTTTTTCAGAATCCGACTATCAGGTGAAAATTAGGTAAAAAGTATCAATGTGGTTAAAAGTGTTAATTTGGGTCTGGTCAAAGGAAAAAAGATTTCGGGTTTTACTGGTCTTGCCACTTGAAAATAATTCAGAGAAGTTTCTTCGGTTACGGTTCACTCATCTATTTTTCAACATGTACCTTTTTTATAGGAAAATCAAGTAACCCCCCACCCTTCCTCCCTGCTTTGACGCTGTGTACTGTACATTGTACAGTATCGCACTGTTGAAGCAAAGAAAGAAAAAAGAAAACATAAATCCGGAAAAACGAACGCTTTAAATATGTGTCGCATTATGATGATTAAACTTCATGACAATATACGATCGAGAAAGATCTCCTGTTTCGGATTATCACAATTCGAATGAACTACTACTTGGACAAAAAGTCAGAAAAATGTTCTAGGCTGTTACAAAAGCTGTAGGCTTCTGCTCTTTTTCCAGAAAAAATTATTAGGTCACCTAAGAAAATTTTCTGGTCACTCGGGGTAACTTTCGAAATTTCGTACCACTTCGGGTCGGGTCGGGTAAAAAGCCTTCGGGTCGAGTCGGGCCCACATAGAAAATATTGATTTGGGTCGGGTTCGGGTCATCCATCGAAGGCCCGATTCGGTCTCTGACAGCTGCTACACTTTAATTCGATCACTTTTTTTTATTTCCAGCAATTCCGATAAAGTCAGTTTCTAAACGTATTTTTCATGAGTGGCGACTTAATGAATATGGCTACGAAGCAACTGAGCGATTTTTCAAACTCTCCCGTTTGTATATAATACGCCTAATTCTGGTTCGCAGTCTAATACAGTTCGATTTGGGTTCGTTTCTTGCACATATTTAAAGAACACATTTTCGTTTTTTTTTCAGAAACCCTGTTGTACGATACCAGTCAGATAAGATATAAAAAGGTTTTAGCAGGCAAACAATAGGTATTTATTTTCTTCAGTTATTATTTTTTTCATATAAATCATTCTCGATTTTGTACAAACAAGTTAGTTCTATCACCAAACATACATACACAAATGGTAACCAAATTACTTGAATTTCATCGTAATGTAGATGAGAAGACTGACGAAGGCATAATTCGAGCTAATGGAGAATCACCTAGAAATGGAAAATATGTTTCAAGGCTGTATATCGCAGCTGTTTAGTCAATCCACTTACATTGATGATTCCACTCACTAGTATTCACTGGTGGTGAAATATCTCGCGTATGATTGTCGGATAAAGCTTCAACTAAATAAACACAGGAATGATTTTAAAAGAAGAAAAATTAGAATTTCTTGAAGCTTCATCTTACTTTCATGATCGTATAAACTACTACCCCTTCCAAAATACAAGACAGACGGTTGCTTTTTGAGTAACTTTTGATAGGACATAGACAGACACCTGCGGTTTTCACTATTCGGTAGCCAAGATCTGTATGCATCTTTCCACAAGCAAAACTGATTTTCGAGAAAGATTCAAAGACCGGATTTTGGGCAGATCTTTGGAAAATCATTCTGGATCTCTGAGAACTGACATAGAAATCCTTCTCATATGAAGAACTCCCCCACCCTCCCGCATAATAGAAGACCATCCCCCAACAGAGACCACTGTCAATTGTATGACATAAAAGCCTAATAGAAGACCATGGTCTTCTATTTGCGATAAAAAGTGTGTGCTAGAAAAAACACCTGTGTGCGTCAATCTGTGCAAAAAAAAATTTCCCTGTCTTCTAGGTGCAGCTAATGCAAAATTCGAGTGGGTTTTATTTTTCAATTTATCATACATATTCTGATTCGTCTTGTTCAGCTGATCACGAATATCACCTTTAAAATATTTAAAAGTCCTTTTTTCATGAAGAAAAACTCGAAATACTGCAAAGGTCTAAAAAATCGAAAAAAATGACCTTTATCGTAGAATTGACCTTTTTGAAGTTTTATTACAAGATGGAAGGTTGAAACTATTTTTTTCTGAATCAGCGTTGA